GTAGGGAACAGCTGAGATCCTTGCCCAAATCAGACAACGAAAAAGAGGGTGATTTGTTCCTTGTTACTCTGTCCAGCATGGAAACAACCTTATCAAATGCAATCCAAGCCTTGAGTGGGACGCCAGTCCCATCTGAGTATCAGCAGAGTGAAAGCCTTATCACGGAAAGCCCTGCTCCAGAAGGAGAGTTTTTGGGAGAAGAGGAGCAAGTCTCCAAGGAGCAGCAAGTGGAAGTGTTTGATGCCAGCCAGCTGAGATGGCTTTCTGAGAGAGTGGCATTTGAGGCCTCTCTCATCAACCAAATAGCAGAGTCTTTGAAAAATGCAAGCTCTGAGATAGCCCAGCTTCTAAGAGAGATCCAGGGAACAGCTGAGGTGGCTTTATTGGAACCAGTAAGTGTTTCTCATACAGCCATGGATTTGGCCAGTGTCCTGTCTAAGAAGTTGCTGCTGGAAGGGGAGTTCTGGAGCCAGGTGGAGGAGCTGAGAGCACATTTGAGCACTAGAGAAGGAGAAGCCGAGGGCAAAACAGAAACAAGCTTGAACTTTTCCCCAGGTTTTCTCAGTGCTGTAGCAGATGCTACATTGATCAAGGCAGAACTTGGGTTTGTCGCACAGAAAATGAGAGAATCTTTTCATCAGAGATTAAAAACCATCGAAGAAGACCTCCATAATACCAAAACAGCTCTCCAGCAGCACAAATGCATGTTGGAGGAGATCATCAAAGCATACAGGACTCCTGAGTTTGACAGAGTTATGCACCAGATTTCTGAAGCACTTGAAATACAAAAAGATGCTTCAGAAAGAACCCAAATCTCCTGGGATGGGAGCTGTCTCCAGATGGTGCCATGCCAGGAATTAGCTAAGGTGGAGGAGACTGGCAGTTTGCCAGACCATAGTAGTGAAGCTCTTGTTTCCATTCAGGAAGATCTTGCCCAGCAACTAAAGGACAAATCCAATGTTCTGAAGGAGATATCTGTTGCCTTACTCTCTCTGCCTCCCGAGGAGGCTATGAGAGACTGTCAGAAGCTCCTGAAGATATCCCAGAGTCTTTCCTATCATTCATGTATGGGGGACCTGGAGCGGTATTCCACTTTGTTAGTCCGTGATGCAATTGTTCAAGCTCAGGTTTGTTACGCTGCTTGCAAAGTCCGACTGGAGCACGAGAGGGAGATGAAGTCCTACAAGGAGTCCTTGCAGAGCATGGATGCACTTTGCCAAGAGCGCGTGAAGACGGTCTCTCTCCTTCGGGATGAGTATGAAGACTTGCTCAGGAAGCAGCAGGGTGAGTACAGCGAGGTGATCGCCGTGCTGGAAAGGGAGAACGCTGATCTCAAAGCACAGGTGTCCCAGCTGGAAAGCCAGCGAAGGCTCTTGGAAGAGGAAGAGCACAAACACAGCAAGAGCTTGAGTGAGCTACAGGGACGGTACGAGGAGGAGATCCGAAACGTGATAGAGCAGCTCAACAGGACTGAGGATGCTCTGAAGGCTGAGAGGACAGAGGGCCTCAACCAGCTGGATGCCATTGTCCGTGACAAGCAGAACATGGAGCGATATCATGTGGAGCAGATGCAAACGCTGGAGGAGAGGTTCCAGGCCAAGATCAAGGAGCTGCAGGTCATCCACGGCGAGGAGCTGCAGGCGCTGCAGGAGCACTACAGCCAGAACCTGCAGCGCCTGCAGGAGACCCTGGATGAGTACCAGAAGCAGCACCCAGAGTCGTCTCCCGCGGCGGGCGCTGGGGACACCTGGGTGGCCAGAGAGGCTGGAGGCACCGGGCAGGACCCTGGCAGTGACCTGGACTCCATGCACGGCCTGAGGGAACGCATCCAGGAGCTGGAGGCCCAGATGAACGTCATGAGGGACGAGCTGGAGAACAAACACCTGGAGGGGAACGCTTCCACCTTGAGGGAAAAATACCAGAAAGACTTTGAAAACTTAAAGGTCTTGATACGTTTAAATCTTTATGCTTTCTGCTGCTGAGTGCACGGGAGGGCGCGTGCAGTCCTGGGGTGTGCTTGCCAAACCAAGGGGCATCCCCCAAAAGAGCCAAAGTGTGCCAAAGCAAGCCGCAAAGTGTTAGCCAGGCCTCTGTAAAGCATAGTGTCTCCTTTTCTCCACGCTAGGGTATTCTAAATGCATTGCTGAGGGCCTGGGAGGTGGGAGGGTGGATTTTTGGAGGTGGTCTCTGCATGGAGAGAGAGCTTCAAAGTAGCTCGATAATGTCACGCTCTCCTTCAACACAAAGACCACAGTGTTTCTCCTTGTACCTGAAGTGATGTTTTGTTCGTGACATCCCTTTAAAAACATTCCCCAACTCTGTCTTTCCCAATCTGATCGAATCTTCAGTCTGTCTCTGCTGCCTTCAAAAATGCAGGATGAAATGGAAACTTGATGCTCTCAAAATGTATGTTGCTGGGGAAGGTAGCTGCAAACAGATGCCAAAATCTGGAGCAAAGCAAAGCTCCTGTGCAGGAGGCTGTGAGGACCATGCTGGGGTTGGACACAGCGATTCTGTATGCAACAAACAGTGCACAGTTACAGAACACACAGGTGAGGTGCAGAGGAGCATGCTGGCAATGAAATGCTGTCATTCAGATCAGCCCAGTCACACTGGCTGTAAAACTGTCCTGAGATGGTCCAGCATCTAAAAACACCTCCTGGGTTTGGTGTTTTGCTTTTCATAGGAGAGCATTCCGGGATAGGAAGTGGGTTTGGGGTGGTAGAGGACTCCAGCAGCACCAAGGGAAATTCCCAGGTTGAACAGGAAGCCAAGGACATGCCGAAGAGGCTTTCACTGATCAGTTGCTTTTCCAAGTCATCAAAAATATAGGAGAGCTTGCTTCCAGCCAGGAGATCCAGCCCACATTTGGGCTGGAGGTAAAGCATGGCTCAGCTCCAGCCAAAAGCTGGTTTTAGCCTGGGGAAAGCAGTAATTCTGCTGCATCCCATTGGAGTGAAGTGGTGGTCACTGAATGCTCTCTCCTTCATCTTAACCCTTAGGAAGGAAAATCCCTTCTTGACCCCCCACTCAGGTCAGAGGGATGAATGTGTCTTGTGAACCAGGCACCAGACAAGGTCACTTGTATCCAGGGATGTTCTTGGTTTAGAAGAAGCAAAAGCCCAGAGTGAAAGTGGAGAGTGAAAAGTAACAGCAAGCAGTGAACCTGACCTCCTGCCTGTTTTCCCAACTTCACTCTGCCAAAACCTGCAGTTTGCTTGGTGGGATGGAAGCAGCAACTCTGGGTGGTTAGAAACTTCCCATGGTCACAAAGCTAACCAGGTGATTGGAAACCTGCCCAATTTACAGACTTAAATGTGCTTGATTCTTCTCTTCAGAACCTGATGGAAACCTTAACATCAGTAACACAAGAGAAACTTTTCTGCCTGGAGAAGAAAAGGCTTTGGGGAGACCTTAGAGTGCCTTCCAGTGCCAGCAACTCTGGGTGGTTAGAAACTTCCCATGGTCACAAAGCTAACCAGGTGATTGGAAACCTGCCCAATTTACAGACTTAAATGTGCTTGATTCTTCTCTTCAGAACCTGATGGAAACCTTAACATCAGTAACACAAGAGAAACTTTTCTGCCTGGAGAAGAAAAGGCTTTGGGGAGACCTTAGAGTGCCTTCCAGTGCCTAAGGGGCTTCAAGAGAGCTGCAGAGGGACTTTGGGGCCTGGAGTGGAGTGACAGGACAAGGGGGAAGAATGGCTTCACACTGCCAGAGGGCAGGGATAGATGGGATATTAGGAAGGAAGTCTTGGCTGTGAAGGTGCTGAGACACTGGCACAGGTTGCCCGGAGAAGCTGTGGCTGCCCCATCCCTGGAAGTGTTCAGAACCAGGTTGGTTGGGGCTTGGAGCAACCTCTGCTAGTGGAAGGTGTCCCTGCCCATGGCAGGGGGTGGAATGAGATGGTCTTTAAGTTCCTTCCAACCCAGACCATTCTGGGATGCTATGAGACACTGATTTGTACATGTTTGAATCTCTGGGATTTATAGCAATGCATTTACAATACATTAAATAGTGGTTAGGAGTGTTCACCATTTTCCTCCAGTATTAGATGTGTTTCAGGAGCTGGACTTGATGGTTCTTGTGGATCCCTTCCAGCTTAGCATATTCTATGATTTTAGGTGTCATGAAGAATCCTGCAGGGCTGCTTCATGCTGCTCCTCAGTCAGCCAAGTCCAGGCAGGTTCTGGCATTGAGTTAGGGAGTTTAAAAAAACCCAAACAAGGCTGAGAAAGTGAAGAATGCCTTGGGATTAAAACTTAAAGGGGAGGGAAAAAGCCACCGGAGCTGAAAATTGGGAATGAGGATGGCATAGGTTGCAGAGCATTAGACAAGAAAGTGATGCTGAGGAGTGTATGTTAGTGAGGATCAGTGGTGTTGGACTGTCCTGAGCACTTTTGTCACTGGTAGAGTGAATTTGTCCCCCTTAAATTTCCCATGGGGTCCTAGAGTCCCTAGGTGACAGTTCTCCCTTCCCATGGAAAACACTAGTGTTAATCAAGAAGAAATCAGCTGAAATCAGGTAATAAATCCAGCCTGTAAGATTAAGGAGAAGAGCCCTGTGCAGTGCTTGGCATCAGGTTTGTCCCAGGCTGTGTGGTGGGGTTCAGCACCATGTCCCTGGTGTGTGCCTTTCCCTGTGCATGGCTCAGCCCTGCCTGTGGCTTTGCTGTCCTGCCTCTGTCCTGCAGCCGTGTGTCCCTCCGGGATCCCCACGCGCTTGGGCTGCAGCTGAGCTGGGAACAGGCTTTTGCATTTGTCTGCTGCCAAGGCAGGAGTGGGGGCAGAAAGCCCGGGCTGGAATTCAGGATCTCACTGCTGGTGAATCCCGAGTCCCGGATTGCTGCTCCCATTGCTGGTGTTGGTCCTGTTGCTGTCACGTGTCATGTGCGTTCCACCCAGAGGTGGCCATATAAAACCAGGCATTGAAAAAAGAGCAGGAGGGGCACAAAAGGCTTTTTTTTCTGGTTTTTTTTTGCATTCCCCACCTGGGTCTGCCCCCAGACCTACCTTGTCCTTCCCTTTCACTGGAGCTGTCAGGGGCTGAGTGACTGCAGGACAAGCCCTGGCACTGCAAGGTCTGTCCTCCTCCATGGCTGGGGAAGAAGATCCATGATGGACTTTGGGAGCTGACCTACCTGCTGGCATGTGGCTCCTGGTGGGCTCACCACCACTGTGACACCACCCTGCACCCCTGGACCAACCCTTTCACCTCGTCCCTTTGCAGGCAACATGTGAAAGAGGCTTTGCAGCCATGGAGGAGACACACCAGAAGAAGATCGAGGACCTGCAGCGGCAGCACCAGCGGGAGCTGGAGAAGCTGCGGGAGGAGAAGGATCGCCTGCTGGCAGAGGAAACGGCGGCCACCATTTCAGGTACAGGGACATGTCAGAGGGTCCCCAGCGTGGGGCAGCTCTCTGTTGATGGGGATATGGGAATGGTGTTTGCTTCACTGAGGAACAGAGCAGGGATGGGATGAGGACCAGGTGGAGAGCACAGGAAGATGGGAAAGGGCTAGTGGGAGAGATATTTTGGATGGAGGCCCATCTCCTGATTCTTCCCCAGGGCTTGGTGCCCATCTTCTGGGTCTTCTCCAGGCTTGGTACCCATCTTCTTGGCTGTTAATGATCTGAACTGATTTCCATTCCAAGTCAGAAAGGCATTAGTCATTCCTGTGGTTAATTTATTGCCAATTCCACACTGAATTAATTCTTTAGTGCCCCAGGGAATGTTAAAACACTGGAGCCCAGGATGTCTCCATTAGGAGTCCCATAGTCTAGGAAACAACATGTGAATTGGACAATTGTTTGGACTCTATTAAAATGTAGGATTTGCAGAAAACCCTTTGCATCTGGGGCGCAGGCTGAAGGGGCTGTAACGCAGTGGGAGGCTCACTGGGATCACTTGGGATTTGTTTCTTTAAAAAAACAAACCAAAGCTTAAAAAAAAACCACCCTTGGGTGGAGGGTGCTGGGTGCTAACACTGTGCTGCCCCACACAGCCATTGAAGCCATGAAGAACGCACACCGAGAGGAGCTGGAGCGAGAGCTGGAGAAGTCCCAACGCTCCCAGATCAGCAGCGTCAACGCCGACATCGAGGCCCTCCGAAGGCAATACCTGTAAGACCATCATCGTCCTCTGTCTTGCAGGGGGATCATTTGTGTGGGAGACCCCTCTCTCCTCTTTGGTTTTGGCAATGAATTGGAGCAGAACTGTCATTGCAGAGATCTCATCCCTTGGCCCTGACCTAGCTACACCCACCGAACCTCCTGGTTGCCTGTAATCTTTCAGGCTCCAGGTCACTGTTCCCACATTACCCAAATTCAGCTGCTTTGCATCCTCAGAAGTAGCAGATGTGCAGCCACAGTGCTGCTGTTCACGCAGGTGCAGTGGGAGGATTGTTCCCTGCAGTGCAGGGTCACCTTGCACTAGACCGGGCTGCTCAGAATCCAACCTGGCCTTGAACACTCCCAGGGATGGAGCAGCCACAGCTTCTCTGGGCAACCTGTGCCAGTGCCTCAATACCCTCACAGGGAAGAATTTCTGATAGATAGATCAGCTGAGTTTTTGAAAACTCAAGGAAGTTCTGTCATTTAACCTCTGTGAGAATGACCTCCCATCCCCTTTGGTGCCCAAGCACCACTCTGCCAGGAGAGGGAAGGGTTGTCTCTCTGGACTTGGGCTTTTTTCCCCAAGGGCATATGCAAGTCCTCCTCCTCAGTGCTGAGATTCCTGTTGGGTGGTTGCAGGATGCTGGAGGAAGGGTGGGCATGGGGGTGTGTGCGTGGGAAGGGCAGTACCCAGCGCGTGTTCCGCAGGGAGGAGCTGCAGTCGGTGCAAAGGGAGCTGGAGGTGCTGTCGGAGCAGTATTCACAGAAGTGTTTGGAGAACGCCCACCTGGCGCAGGCGCTGGAGGCTGAGAGGCAGGCCCTCCGCCAGTGCCAGCGGGAGAACCAGGAGCTCAACGCCCACAACCAGGTGAGGGTCCCTGCCAGGCCAGGTGACAGTGGGCTCTGAGCCGTGGCCATGCTTCCGCTTCCCACAACATCTCTCTCCCTCTTCCCAGGAGCTGAATAACCGCCTGGCTGCGGAGATCACGCGATTGCGGACCCTGCTGACCGGGGAGGGCGGGGGAGAGGCTGCTGGGTCGCCTCTCACGCAGGGCAAGGACGCCTACGAGCTGGAGGTGAGCTCTGTCGTGGCTGTGCTGAGAGGTAGCACAAGTGTCACATCCTCTAACATCAAGTCTGCGTGGCTGGTCAGCACTGTGCATTGTGGGCTGCAGCGAGGATGAGATTTTAGGGTCATAATCTTGCCTTCTCACCATGGCGAGCCAGACACTTGCTCTTCCTTCTCCAGCCCCTGCTTGTCCCCGGGATCCAGTCCATACAGAGCAGTGGGGTCAGACCCTGAGGGGTGTGCAGGGAGAACATTGGTGGTGCAAGCTTGGACAAGTTCCTAAGAGATCCAGGAGGGATTTTCTTGCACCAGAAGACGGGACCTTTCTTGCACCACAGCTTCATGGGGCTGAGCTTCATTGTCACCAGGCACAGTGAGTGAGCATCTCGGGTTCAAACTCTGCCTGCTTGGGTGCAAAGATGCTGTTTTTTCTTCCCACAGGTCCTGCTGCGGGTCAAAGAATCTGAAATCCAGTACCTGAAGCAGGAGATCAGCTCCCTCAAAGATGAGCTGCAGACAGCACTGAGGGTAATGCCAGGGACAGTTCTGCAAATCCTCTTACTGTGCTCTGCTTCTGCGTGTGTGTGCTTAGATTCCAGCCCATTTATACTCAGTTTTGAAACAATATTTAATTTTTCCCATGAATGGAATTCAGTACCCATTTTGGTGTCATCAGCAAAGCATTCCATGTCTGTATCACCTTAGGACTTACCCCACAAAGGAGACAGTGTAGGAAAACCTCCCCTTCAGCGTTATTTCCCCATTTTCTGTCACATCAGATCAGATTTAAATGGCAGAAATAATCAGTGTTAGAGATCTGCCCAGCCTCACAGCAGTGGATCTGGTTTGCTCTGGACAAGCCAAGGCCATTTCTGGGAATTCTACTTGAATTCCATGTCTTTGCTAAAATTAAAACCCACAAACAATCCTGTAGCCGAGGGGCTGCATGCACAGGCAGCACTGTGTGCTTGCCGTTGGCTCACAGCTTTCCTCCCATCTCAAATCCCATAGTCCTGTATCGCTGTTGGAAGCAGCTTCAAGTGTGTGTGTTGCCCCAGCCAAGCATTTCTCCTGCTGCCGACTCTTCTTCCGCCAGCATTTGCCAAGCTCCTCTTCAGTGCATCCACAAACCCCTCGGCTCCAGCTGTCTGTCTGGCTCCATCGGGTTGTTCTTGTTCCCTTGCCAGGATAAGAAATACGCCAGCGACAAGTACAAAGACATCTACACGGAGCTGAGCATCGTGAAGGCCAAGGCAGACTGTGATATCAGCAGGTTGAAAGAGCAGCTGAAAGCAGCCACAGAAGCTCAGGGAGAGAAATCCCCTGTGAACACCACTGTATCGGGATATGGTCAGTCCTCCTCCAGCAGCTCTAAGCAGTCCTGGGTGTCCTGAGCTCACACATGCATCCTGGAGTAACCAGCCCTTGTGCAGAAACGGGTCTGAGTGTAGGACTTGGCCTTCCAGCCTGTGGATGGGAAGCTTTGAAAGCCTTCTGGCATTTTGCATTAGGAAAACCTTGTGATGCAGGGGAGCAGAGACCCCCAGAAGTCTCCTCTGCCCCTAGGGCAGTGCTGCTTGAGTTAGGCTCATCAGGGCACTTGCCTGGGCTGGGAGGGCATTAGTTAAGCCCCAGCCCTGTCCTGAATGCAGTGGGAACCAGGCTAACCCCATTTGTTTTGCTTCTTCCCAGATATTATGAAATCAAAAAGCAACCCTGATTTCTTGAAGAAAGACAGATCCAGTGTTAGCCGGCAACTAAGGAATATCAGGTCAAAGGTGAGCTCAGATCTCCTGCCCAGTGGGATGGGAATGGGGAATGCCCAGCATTACTCTCCATTGAGGGTTTTCAGGTGGGAAGAAATTGTCAGAGGAAGAAAACCTGAGAATTTCCCAGTCAATAGTGGTAGCCTGGATGGTTTTTGACTGCGAAAGGGCTAACTGTGCAGCCCAGCAGGGCCTGCACCCCAACTCCTGACCCTGCTGAGATGGGGTGTGAAGCTGCTCTCTGCTTGAAAAAAGGAAGAAGTTCACCTTGTTCTCTGGTCTTTCACAGGAGGACTATCCCAGTGTTTGCTCCCCGTTTTCAGTTGAAATTTAGGTGGAAATGTGCACATCGTTCTAAGTTTTAGTGCTCATCACCGCAAGATTCTTGGTCTTTATGTGTAACACCAATGCCTTGATCCTGGGCATACTCAGCACACGCTTTGCTTGTGTGTTAACGTGGTGCAGATGGCCCTGTGTTTCTCTGGTCCTTCTGTGCTTGCTGTTGGTCCCAAAGCCCACTGATGCTGTGCCAAGCTGGCCTTGGCAGCCAGTTACATCTTGTGGGATGTAACAGGGATGAAGAGGGCAAATAAAGCCGCTCAGGCGTCAGCGTTAAACATAGATCAGCTGGGAGGAAGATCAGCATGAGCAAACCGGCTTTGCCTCTCACGTGGTGTCTCATGCTGATGTTTGAAGTGGTTGGGCCCTTGGGCAGAGCGAGAAGTCAGGCAGGCAAAAGGCTTCGAGCTTGGTGCCCATGCAGGGAAACAGTCAGCCCGGGAGCTCTGTGAGCAGCAGCTCCTCAGCTCAAAGTGTTTGCACTGCACCCAGTGAACACAGAGAGCACCTCTGCGCATTTCGGGGCAACCCAGACCTGCTGGGCCAGTCTGATATTGGGTTTCCCTTCACCACTTCCAACTCAAGCCACTTTTTATGTGGTCCTCAAGTGTGTTGCTTGGTGGGGAAGGAGGAGAGGAGAGCAAGCACAGGCATCGCTACGGGGCGGGGGGCTGGGGCTGCGCTAGCACCAATGCACTTAGGATTTCTGAGCTTGTTTTGTTTTGTTTTTTCTTTATTTTGCCTTTTCCCTCAACAGTCCGTTATTGAGCAGGTCTCATGGGATAACTGAAATGAACCCGAGTCCAGGTTCCCTGCCACGTAGGTAAACACACCGGCACCCACCCAGCGGCGCAGCTGCCCACGGGAGCAGCTCACCTTTGCATGCACTGCTCACACCTCCATGGCAAACCAGAGCCCTTCTTCTCTTGATGACTGACTGATGGGTGTACCTATGGCTAATTCTTTTCATGGGGGAGAGGGGAGGGGAAGGGAGAAGTCAGCGTGCCCAAGGTCCGTATGAAACTCAGTGTCTCTGGCTCCTCCCTGGGGAATATGGTTTTCTCTGACGTCTTCCTGCTCCTCCCACCCTCACCAGCACAGCTAACTGTCACCGAGAGGATTCGGACACGGTGGGGCACGTTCTCCTGTTTGCTGTGTTGGGAGCACAGGACACTGAGTGTGCATGCGTGAATGACTCTGCATGCCTCGAACTAAACTCCAGCACCATCCAGGTCTCCTAGGAAAATGCCCATTTTGCAGTTAGCCAGGTGGAGAAATGGTCAGGGATGCCTATAAGTGCATTACCCACAACAGCCCAGAGCATGGAAAACAGTGGTCTCTGCCTCAGCTGCAGAGAGGGTGTCCTGGGCTGCCCTAAATTTTCCTTTATCCAGAATTGTTGCTTCTTTAGGTTGATCCATGCCTGAGCAAGAGTCTCCCTGGCCCAGCAGCCTCCTCTTCCTGCTCTTCGGGCTTCCTCCAGCCCCTGGTGTCCACCCCACTGCTCTCCATCCTTGGCACTGCATGCCCTTCCCATACACTGGCCAGGGGCTTCCAAGCTCATCCAGCAAAAGGAGGGAGCTGATGAGAAATGAGGCTGATCCTGATGAGCCAGATATCTCCATTAACTGAAGCAGCAGTTAATTTGTTGGCCCCTGGCAAAGACTGAGGTTGGAGCACCTGCAGAGGCAGGTTAGAGGAGAGGAGAGCTCCCAGTGCAGTGGCAGAAGGGTGGCTGGAGGGCCAGGAAGGATGATGGGAGATCCTTTATCACAGAGATCATCCTACATTAGTCTCCCTTCATCAGGCTCCACTCATGAGCAACTCAAATGGGTTGTGAGACTGCCTGAGGGTGAATTTGCTGGAATTTGTACCATCAGGCAGAACAGTCTAATGATTCCTGGTGTCTCTTTCCATTCTAATGAGGAATCAGAGGCATGAACTGGAATGCACTGGTTGCTCCCATTTAAAGAGGCCCAAAGTAAACTTCCTTTAGGAAGTGTGTGCTCAGAGACTCGCATCCCAGGAGACTCTGCTGCCCACTGGAAGGAAAGTGTACAGCATTTGGAAATCCAATCCAATTTAGTGCTTTCATTTCCGTGCTGCCTGGCAAAGCCCTTCTGTGTTTGTGGGCCTGTGGGAGGAAAAACATTTCCAAAAATACAGTAACCATGGGAATCTGCACAGCCTTGGGGCAAGTTTATCATGGAGTCCTGCCTTGATAAACACATGGGAGAGAAAACCCAGCCCAAAAGTCTAACCTGCTGCTGTGATTGAACAGTCCTCTGGCACCACAGTCAGGGAAGGGGAAGGGACATGCAAAGGGAAAAGGAAAGGGGAGATGGCTGCCTCATAGTAGAATCAAAGAATCCCAGAACAGTTTGGGTTGGAAGGAACCTTAAAGCTCATCTCCCTCCATCCCCCTGCCATGGGCAGGGACACTTTCCACTAGCCCAGGTTGCTCCAAGCCCCATCCAGCCTGGCCTTGAACACTTTTAGGGATGGACCAGCCACAGCTTCTCTGGGCAACCTGTGCCAGTGCCTCACCACTCTCACAGGGAAGAGTTTTTCTCCTAATATCCAACTTACGAAGGAACCTTAAAGCTCATCTCCCTCCATCCCCCTGCCATGGGCAGGGACACTTTCCACTAGCCCAGGTTGCTCCAAGCCCCATCCAGCCTGGCCTTGAACACTTTTAGGGATGGACCAGCCACAGCTTCTCTGGGCAACCTGTGCCAGTGCCTCACCACTCTCACAGGGAAGAGTTTTTCTCCTAATATCCAACTTACCCTCCCCTCTGGCAGTTTGAAGCCATTCTCCCTTGTCCTGTCACTCCAGGCCTGTGCCCAAAGTCCCTCTCCAGCTCTCTTGGAGCTCCTTAGGCACTGGAAGGAGCTCTAAGGTCTCCCTGGAGCCTTCTTTTCTCCGGGCTGAACAATTATGATTCCCTCAGCCTTTCCTCATAGGAGCTGAGTTCCATCTCTCCAGTCTGTGCCTTTGAAGGTGCCAAGTCTTGGTCTGTAAAGCAAATAATGTTCTTGCTGCAGAGTGAATTCCTTGCAAGTTCCAAGGAACAGTCTGGCAGGCAGCAGCTGCCCGCGGGGTGGGAGCAGGCAGGTGCCTGTCCTGGGATTGGGGCATGGAGGGGCAGAGCTCAGGCTCAGTGGCTGGCTGTTTTGGGGGGATGGCTGTGCCTCCTCATCCACAACAAGCAGGGACAACTCCCTGCCCAGAGCTCTGCTCCCCTGGATCTCATGCCACAGATTTGGGGCTGCAGGAAGGAGGGAGGCTCATGTTAGTCTTGTGCATCCCCTCAGGCTGGTTTCAGCTTAAAATTGTCATGCAGGAGTCAGGCAATTTGTTTCTGGGTTTCTAACCCTCTCATTGCTGTTTTCCTGGGTCCCTGTGTGCAGGTGAGGGATTTCACAAACCCAGGTGCTGAGGGATAGCAGGGCTGGCTTGATGGCTGGCTGAGTGTTGTGCCTTAAGATCTGGATGCTACATCTGAATTGGATCATCCATCAGACCCTGCCAGACCTGAACAGCATTTAGGAGTTCTCTGTCTAGTCCTGGGCAGTGGAGGCAGCTTTGGCATGGGAGAGCCCCAGGCTGGGATTAGAGCAGGAGTGGGATGATCAGTGGCAGCACACACAGTTTTCAGAGTTCTTTGAGCAAATCCTGCACTGACCAGAGCCAGGACTGTCCCCGGCGGTGCCACAGTGGTGCAGGAGGCAGGGAGGGAGCAACGTGCAGATCCTGCTCAGCACCCTGGGGCTTTAGCATAGCAGATGGAGCTGATCTGCCCAGGCTGCTGGAGCACCACTGGAATTGCCCCATCCAGCCCTGCCCCACCGGCTCCAGGGGCATTCCCGAGCCAGCTAATCCTGCTTGCAGCATGGTGTGCCTCTCATTCGCTTCTGGTTCGTCGCCTGGTCCATCGCAGTCTCACCCTCTCTAGGCACCATTCGCTCGCCCGTAACCTTTCTCCATAACTGTGTGTTTTCCCTCAGCATGTCCCACTAATCTCTCCTCCAAGGAGCCCATTCTCCTGCTGCCACGTCTCCTTTGCCTGAGCATCGCACCCTCTCCGTGTGCCGATGCCTGCTGCCTCCCCCCGCCCGCGTCCCACGCTCTCTGTCTTTTGTCTCTCCCAGAGTCTGAAGGAAGGCCTGACTGTGCAAGAACGCCTGAAGCTTTTTGAATCCAGGGACTTGAAGAAAGACTAGTTCTCCCCGCTCCGCTTGACCACGCGCACCTCCCAGCTTGAGGCAGCACAGCACCAGCACCGTTTGTCTCTCGTTCCTTACGACTGTCCTTGCTGTCGTTCGTCTTGACGCCCCCGACGGGACCCGGCGCCGCGGTGGTGGTGCCCCCCTCACCTCCCCGGCTCCTTTCCCTGCTTGTGAGATGCTCCAGAGACTCTGAGAGAGAGAGAGGAAGGGATTGGAATGGGGTTTTTTTTCCCCCTCCTCTCTTCGGCGCTTTGTAGGAGAATCCTTTCTTTACTGTAAACCATTACACTAAGTGTCAGTATTAAGGCTCAGTAGCCTGTTAATAAGCTAGTTCTGTCGTACCAGCCGCTCTGGTACGCAAGCAGGGCCTGGGTGGTATTGGCCAGACCGAGCTCTTACTGCTGTCTAGAGACCCAGTGCTCAGAGCACACCAGGAGCCTGATCTAACCGTTGATCTTGACTGCATTACTTGCACCTGCAAGGGGGGAAAGCCCAGGGGAAGCTGTCGGGGAGCGCGAGTCCATGCCGGCGTACGCAGCCTGGAGGTACAACACTGACATCTCGCTGGAGAAGGATGCAAGAAGTGATCCTCCTGCCCCGTGACTGTGCTGTATCCTGAATGTAGGCACCACCGAAGCCTGGTGAGCTTTGGTGGCTGCCCAGGTGGTTATGGATAGGGAGCTGCAGCTACTGAAGTGCACCATCGAGTCCGCCCCGTTGGCGTGTCTTGGCTCCCGTCTCGCTGGTGGTCCGACTTGGTGTTCCAGGGGCCAAGCTGTAAGATCACTTTCTTGCCTCTGTTAGATCAAGCCCAGCACTCTTTTTTTTTTGCTGTTACTCCCTTCCTCTCATTGAGTCCCGTGTATCCCAGGGTCTGTGCGCATGTGAAACTCCCTTTTCCTAGTCAAAGGAAAGTAGAGTAGAAAGTAGAGCCAATATTGACTGAAAATGCACAGTGCTCAATGCATATAATGCTCCTTTTTTATCAGCTTCTTGAATTCAACTCTTCTTGTCAGCAGGGCAGCTCCTATTTTAATTCTTTAATCTTTTCCTGAAATAAAAAATCTCAAAACCAGTATGTGCTTCAGACCTTCTCAGTCCTAATAGCTTTTGTATTTAAAGCATACAACTTAGCACTGTAAGGCTGATAAATGGATACAAACCAAAAGTGAGTTGAGGGAGCTGGTAGCACTAGGTGGATGCAGCTAGCTGAGCAGAGGCTTCCTAGAAGAACCCTGTGCTGCTCTGCAGCAGCTGCCTAGGTGTGGTGGCTTCATCCTGGGCTAATTTTCAAGATACCACCTGTAAAGCCCCAGGTCCTGCCTCGCCGATCACCAGGGATGAAGGAGTGCTCTGGCACATTGGCTTCCCAGCCCCACTTAGCATCAGGCTGGGATGTTAAAGATATGTCCTGGCCTTCACCTGAAGCAAAGATTCCTCTTGTCCTTCGGGCACTTATCACGTGGTTGAGGCAGGCAGCTCGGTGTGCTTTCATGCTGATTTTGGTCCATTAGGTGGGTGGTACAAATGCAGCTCTCGGTGCTGTGGGGCTGGTGACAGCCATCTCCGGTCCTGCCAGGCTGGACCCCAGCAGGTGCTGGAAAATCACCCTCATCCTCCCATGTAGAGCAGCCTCTCTGTTCCAACCACCAGACCCTCAGCATGTGATGGTGTCCTTCTCTAACTGTGGTGTGAATCAGGCTCTTGTCCAGCTCGTGTGGCCTCACCATGGCCAGGTGCTCTGCTTGGCACTCCTGGGGCACTCCTGGCAGGGCCTGGCAGCACTGCGCTCCTGCCCGTAGGAGCCACACTTGTGCCAGCCAAGATACCAGCTGTGTGCAGCAGGCAGAGCAGGTTTGGGGGTGCTCTGTAATCTCTGCCTGGGTGTGCATGGAAGTCCTGGAGATGGGAGCAGGGTAGGAAAGATGCTCAACCACTTGGATACAAAGCCTTTCCTCGTCAGCAGGCATGTGCCCTCTAAGATGCTTTGACGTGTAGTTGCTCACCCTAATCCAAGCTCTGTGTAGCTTTTCCACTCGACTAAAGTGCCAGGTCTGGGGCTCTGGTGTCACCTCACATTTGGGTGAAGGATGTGTTTAGGTCCCTGTGCTCACAGCAGCTGAGAATGTGGCACTTGGACAGTATCTATGAGCAGTTAAAGGCAAAGCAGGGACACCAACACCCGCCAAGTGGAGCAGATAGCAGGACCCGCAGAGATGTCAGTGCTGTGGCCCAGGTGCATCTAAATCTGGGCTAGTATTTGGATGGGAAGGTAACTCCATCCACTGTGTCTTGTAGATTGGATGCACGTTTTTTACCATGGCAGGAGATGGCCACCATGCTTGGCTTGGTCCCATCCAAAGTCATCTGTCCAGCTCTCAGCAGGGATAACCTTTACACTTCATCTCCAGCTGCTCTGGGTCTGTGGTGAGCTCTGATCTGGCAGAGGCTGTGGGAAGCAGAATGGATTTGGGATGGCCTGTAGACCTTGTCATTGCTCTTCCTTACAAGATGTGACTGCCTCCAGGAGGATGTCCCCCTCCTCCTCCTCTTCTTCTCTCAAGACTTCTGATGGGACTTTGTCCTTTTTAGCTAACCGAGCAGAACGTGCTGGTCTCCTTCTTGCCTGTGGACCCTGACCCTTCTTGCATCTGTCAGCAAATCCTGCTTTTTCTTTGGATGCTTCATTGGTTCAGGAGCCCTTGTTCTAAGTGTGAGGACTAGCAGCTAGGTACCTTGCTGTTTGCATTGGCTCTGTGTGGGATGCAGGATGGATCTTTTCGGGTACAGGATCGTGTTGCTAAGCATCATGAGCCTCCCCAGGGAGGGAAATTTTCTGCTGTACACTTGCTCATACCAAAAGTCCTCTCTTAGAGCTTAGTGTCCTGCCTGCAACTAGGTACTGAGCCTAGTAAGAGCAGTTGATTTGCTTGCCAGGGCTCATGCTTCAGGGCTTATGTCTTACCATAGAGACCAGCTGGGTGAGTGGAGGGCACAGGTGGAGTGAATCATCCCCAGCTTTTGTCTCAGTGTCTGTAAATGCATAATATGAATTTGTTTTTAGAAAAGAGGGTGAAGATGAGCAGCAGGGCACTGCAAGTGCTTGCAAAGTTCAGTGCTGAAGACAGGGAGGGCCCAGAGCTGTCCTTGCTGTGTGTGCTCTGGCCCTAAATAACCCTGTGAAGAGAGGCTGAAGGGGAATATCCTTATTTATACACATATAAAAATATACTGCTGGTTAGTGGAGGGAAAAACCATCTGGGAACACTTGTGCAGCTCTTGATCCTTTCCTCTGGACGTAGAAACTTCTGGGCTACTCATATCAATGGCCAAAGACACCACACATGGGTTT